ACTAATTTTGCCTTTCAAATTCAATTTCATCAATGTTGGACTGCGAATTACATTTTCCGCCTTGATAGATAATTATTATAAACACAAGAATTGTGCAGGAGTCGTCAAGTCGTCCAGTTCATTAAGACTTCTGGTGCACACGACATGTTAGTAATTCATAGACTTACCGTAGGATATGTGATCTTTCATGTTTTGACACAGTATGGGTGTTGTTAGATCTATGAGATTTCCAATCGGATTTTGTGTGAATTAAATAATTTAAATTCAAAGTAATTTAAAGCTTTTCGAGTTAAATGTTCTGCTTTGAGACTAATTGTAGCCATTACGATGAATATTTTGGACAAGCTCTTCGTGTGCGACGCCTAATCAAAATGGATTTTGATCGCGTCTTTCGGAAAGAAGGATGTGATATCCTGTTAACTCCTGTGACAAGTGGTATACCACCACTGTTTTCCGAAATTAGTGACACCGACGGGTACAGGCGAGAATGTCAAGACGATTTTTACACACAACCCTGTAATTTGGCAGGTGTTCCAGCAATTTCAGTACCATTCATGAGAACGGCGGATGGATTTCCAGTTGGCGTGCAGATTATCGCTGATCATTTGAAAGATGGTATAGCACTGGATGTGGCAGAAAAGCTTTACGAATATTCTGTTGTGAAAACTGTAAAACAACCATCTGTAGCTAAGTAGAAATTTATAAACATTACGCAGTAACTTATAAGACATAAATTTTCGATGAAACTATTACCATTCGTTCAAATTTGTAAAGTCATTATGATTATACATGCTTGTACCGTGTAAATAATGAATGAAGAATACGCAGCGTGCTTTTCAAATCACCATTTACAATGTCCTGCACTCTTGCGCGTGGTTTTTGCAAATCGGCTTCATACATCAGCTGATATGCGAACGTAACGTTATGTATTTTCTGCTCGTATGTTAATGCCTTAAAAATGTTGAGCTGATATGAAATCCATCATAGAAAGAAAGAAGGCTTAATACTCAACTCAAGATGTGGTTCCTCACATGCTGACTAGAACAGTCAAACCATTTTTATCTTTAAAAGTAAACAATAATGTCTACAAAATAAACCCTGCCATTATCAACAGTACGAATACCTGTAGATCGAAACTATAAAGTGGAACAAAGTATCCTTCCAGTAAACCCATCAAAAATATCAAATAAACACCATCCTTGAACTGATTCTCCAGATCTGTCACCTCCAAATTAATTTTGTTAAGATGCTTATTACAGAAAGCCAACAGTGAACTCTTTACATGAGCCAGTTTGTCTGGTCCGTAGTCGAATAGGGTATCAAAAGCATCTCTCTCACCCTAAAAATACAAGCTGTCTTTCAACTGAAATGAAGCAGAAATGAATGAAGTGTTAACTAATTATCACTTATCACTTTCAATCCAACAGCATAGTGAAATTCGTGAATAACCTTGACACCCAACTCTGACTGGGTTGTTGTAAGCTGTTCTGTAATATAACGGCTTTTCAGCTGATTGTCTTTTTTCTGTAGGACGAGGATCTGTGCATTCACATACTCCGGAAATCTAACAGGAGCACGGAAGTATATAGCAATCGCAACCAATAGCTGTATAATTGCTACCGTATCCTGCAAACGAACATCCAATTACGTAGATAGTGCCTCGCAATTCTAAGAAATACCAAAAAACCAAATTTAAGATAACACTATCATTAAAAACAATCAAGCCAGCTATACTGGACACGTAAATAAAATGGATCAAACACCCAAATCCCAACCGCATAAAAAGAGCTGTAAGAAAACCATGAAGGACACGCACAAAAGGATAAGGAGACTTTATCCTCCTACCCTTGCTCTAGAGAATTCCACAGAACATAAGGTCAACTTAAGGACAACCACAGATAGTCAAGTATTCTGTAATTAAATAGGAACCTTGCAACTAGCAAGGTTCCTATTTAATTACATCATTTGTACTTTATGCACTACAATTCATGTCATCCGACAACTTTGGAAGGTGTCCAATCATTAGTTTCATTCGATACTGATAATTTTATACAACGCTTGCATAAAAATGAAAAAAGAATGTACTGAAAAGAACCAATACTTTATTGTGAATTAGATCAGCATTCCATTTTGCTTTTTCATACTGTCCTTGAGCGATGATGCGATTAACAGTCTCAATCACTTTGTGCAGTTTTTGCCGCTGTCCTTCCTCACTTTGCGATACTTCAGGTACTTCAATCTGAACGAATTGCTCACAGCAACTGTGAAATAAACTAGCGATTAATTCAAGATCCAAACATTAAAAAAAAAAAAAACCATTGCTGGCATATCAGATATATTTGGGAAATAATGAATACATACATATATACGCTTCAAACGAGAGATACAGACCTTGATATTCGCTAGTTTTTCAGTAAGTTTTTGTATGATTTGACCGTCGTACAAGTCCTCTTGTATGTGTTTCACAACGATTCTTTGCGATGCTAATTCATAGTTCAGCCAGCGAATCAAAAGCTGTATCACTTCTTGTATACGTGGGTCATCACGAGATTCCATGGTCAGCAGTCTTTTTTCCTCGCCTAGGAAGAAATTTCATTTCATTTTAATATCACATTAAGTAAATTTAAATATTATGCATAAATGTTTTTGCCAAGAAGTCATCTGGTGATACAGAGTTTAATATTGGCTAGTTCTGCAGCAAGTTTTTGTATGGTCCGACAGTCTTTTTGTATGTGTTTCATAACAATTCTTGATCTATATTGAGGTCTGTTTCATAACGATTCCTGGTCTACATCAAGGACAGCTGACTTTTTAACCAGAACTAAGTTTCACACTAATTTTTTTGTGTATAAATTTCTACAAAACTGTGTAAACTATTTAGAGATCTCATGAGACTATGAGAACTACAAATTACTCCAACTCATTTTTTGAATAAATCTCGCTCTTATATTTCTAACTTTTCTTCAAATGTTTCACTTGTGATTGTGAATACGAAGGAACACATACGAACTATAAGGCATTTCAAACTCGCTTTTCATAAACAAACTTCAAGCTTCACAAACTGGTTAAAAAGAAAGAAAAGCAAAGTAACCGAAAATACTTATGCACTTAGAAAAGCTGTCTCGTGAACCTACCTTCTTCAAGCATAATATTCTGCAGAGTCGCTGAAACCGGGATAACTGCAGAATCAATTGCTTTTGCTCCTTCTGTTTCAACCTAAAGCTAAAAATTTCCAATATCCTGCTAAGTTACTATTAAAAAATTGGAAAAGACCACATAGAATTGACAGGAACTACGGATAAATCAACACGATAACTTCGCAGCACTTCAATTTCATCAATTCTTGAAGTCTATCTTTAATACATTCAGATCACGCAGTACAACTATGTGTTGAGATCTATCAATTTTTCTGCTTCATTCACCATCTTTCTTCACCCCAAACCTTTTCCATATATCTCTCATTTTGCTTTGCAGAATACAATGATTCTTTGTTTAATAAATACAATATCTAGTTAAGGCCGTAATCAAGTATTTGCTATATTAATTTCCAAATCAAACATTATATTCCATGCTATCAGACAACATGACGTTCAATTTTCAGAAATACTCCAAATTCAATGAAGTTAATCAAACTCATCCGACTTCATCCACTACATTCTACTTCATGCATGTGAACATCATGAGATTTAAATCATAAAAAGTGAGAATTGAATTAATTCAACCATGTGTAAAAAACTGACTTCAATAGCTTCATTTTCAGCTTCTTGTTCCAGTTGTTGAGATTTCTTCTTTTTTCCAAGAGTTCCTAGCTTTTCAAAAAATGATTCATCCTAAAACCAAGTTTTCACAACTCCAGTCACTTACTGCAGGTACATACTAAGAAGGTATTACAATTGTTAAAGAAAATGCGAAAGAAGTTTGGTAGCATTTCCAGTGTCGTTGAAAATACATTAGGTAGATGAATTCTCTAAAATCCTACCCCATGCAAAATCCACTTTATCCATCAATAAAAGGGAATTACGCACTACTTCTTTTCTTTATGTAAACAATAACACAATTATTTTATTTGGAAAAATTTTTTACCAGACACTCACTTTAGAAGCGTCAGAGAGGAAATCGTACCACTGAAAACGAGGAAAAATTTTCTAACCTTCTTCTCCTTCCTGATTGTGCCCTTCGATGGAAAAGTTGGTTCAGTGGACAATCGAGACGTCATATCTGAAGCTAACATTTCCACACTAACACCGCTTTAGCCGTAGTCGCAGCAGTTAGAGCAAGAAGAAAGGTCGACTAGGTGTTATCAACTGGTCGTCAGCTGTTTACCTCTGTCAGTCCGCTGGTGAGTATTCCGCTTCTGAGTCAAACAACTACACTACAGGAAAATAGGCTTAGATACTACGAACAACGCGATAGCAAAAGATACTACGAACAAAGGTAGTATATTTCAAGCTAAATGGATCGATCGTTTCGCTTCAAACATATCTACTTCTGAATTCCACAAAATTGACTTCCAAAGATAAAGAAAGAAAACACACAAAGTTACGGATTAAAACGTCAGTGAATTTTGGCGATATCCGTTCGGAGAACTCTTCCCACTTCACTCTTCACAACAACAATTTCACATTTGAGCGTAATATTGTTTGCAAGTATGACCATTAAACATTAAACAGTTCATCTTCATAATCACAAAGTTTAATAAGTATAACAAGAACAATAGCAAGCATGAACAAAATAAAAAATAACATCATTAAAATGAACAACAGCAATGATTTCAAATATTTACACAACAAAAGGAAACAAAGGTAATGACTCAAAAACAACACTGTTGTAAAGAACAGGATTTTTTTTTCTAGCCTGCATATTTTTTTTTTTTTTTTTTTGCAACTTCATCGTCTAGTTTCAAATTAATCGTTTTTACCGTGAACCTAAGTTTTCGAAAATTTTTGATTCAATAATATGAAACAATCACAAATCTTACGAAGAATGATTCAGTTAACATTTCAAAAAACTTTGTATCTTCCTGCTGTTGAAGCATTTCGTGCACCTGTTTGTGCCTGCAAATAATAAAAATTAAAGTCTCTGTTTGTTGAAACGCAAAAAACTTCCTCGATATTATTGACTAGTTAAATCACTAAACTATAATTCAAAATTCCAAAAGGAAAGAGGAAAAAATCACCATTTGTCGCACTGTATCCTTCATAATTCTTAAAATTTCTTCACGCGCACGACGTAACGCAAGCTCAGACCGTGCTTCCAAAAATAGGAAAAGCTTTCTCTCACCATCTTTTGGCTCCTTATTACCTGGATAATAGGATCCTTTCACGGAAATTCCTACGTCAGCATATTCTTGCACCTGAGCTAAGCTGTCCTGAAATTTTGATAAGTTTTCATATGACTTTTCTTAAAACCCAGTGTTTTCAAGTTCAACGATTTAAAACATCATTTACACAATCTACATTAAAACTTTCTATGAAAACGGTCATTTGGATTTCACTTACAAAAAAAAAAAAAAGGAATATGGTAAAACCCTTTACCCTGGAACATATTTTATAACGAATTTGCTGCGGGAAATCATTAATTTCAATTTCCTCTTCAAAGTATTGCAATTCTGTTTCTGTCTCGACTCCTGGGATTAACTCTGATGGAATATAATTTAAGCGTTCATTTAACTGCTCTGCTTTTTGCTTCGCTATCGACTTTGCCTGGAGAAAAAACAAAGAATTGAAAACTTTTACTATAAAAATCAAAAACTTTCATAATTATGCAAGTTTCAATTTAAGCAATAAATAAATATCATATATTAACAGAAATTTTAAATATCACATCTAACAGAAGATAAGAAGACATATTTAGGATAACACAACTTACCGATAATGCTATCGGTACCGCATCATTACCACGCATGACAGCCTCTGCTGTCAAAGAAGCTGCGTCCTTTTCGACTGGTACGGTAACTCCAAGTTGCTTTGCTTCAGCAATTTTTGCCGCCATTGCTCGAGCCTATAAACCAAAATTTTAGTTTAAAAAAAGAATCATTTCATGACACAGAATAAAACCCTCACACTGGAAAAAACATGATTTACTAAAAAAACATCGTAGAAAAAAATCAAGAAAAAGAGAATACTTTTTCTAATTTGTCACCAGCAACCCCTGAGCCAGAAGTTGTACTACCAAAAGTATGACCCTCGACAATACGTCTTCTGCCCTTCATCATACTACTAAGCTGCTGCTCTATCTCATCATCATCATCATCATCCACAGCATTTTCCATGCCATGCATTAAACGTGTAACTTTTCTCCGCGTCGCTTCTTTCTCATCTTCGGCCTGAAGAAAAAAAAACCTTTTTAATATTGAGAAATATAGATACAGTGTACGTTATTATAACATTATATAGTTCTCAAAAACTCATTCAAAAGTCACCTGATCATACTTGTAACCACTCCCAGAAAATCCACAACCCCCGATATAGACCGTTTTCCCCTCTGCTGCCATATGTGCTTTATAGTCTTCCCACATTTTTTTCAGCTGTTCTGGTGGCTCCTTCCCAGCTGTTTCGAAAGCGCGACATACTTCGCCTGCCATGCGTTCCTGTCCTATAGACTGATAATATAAAGGACATAAAATTCAACGTGTTTAAAAATTTGATTAGTGATTTATAATTGACGAATAACCGGTTGGTAAGATGAAAGTGTAAGCATATCCTTTATTGCCTGCTCTTCCCGTTCTACCAACACGATGCACATAGTCCTCATAATGATTTGGACAATCATAATTGACTACAAGGATCAGTTTCTTGATATCTAATCCACGTGCAGCCACTGATGTTGCTACCTGCGAAACGATAATTTTCTTAAGGTAAAAACAAGTCGAACTTTTAATTTTTAAACATTTTAAATATTTACAAAACCAATCTTCAAGTAAAACAAAAAAAATGTCGCATGAAAAGAAAGATAATTTAAACTTACTAGCAGTTTAATTTTTCCAGCCTTATAGTCAAGGATTGTTGAGTCACGATCGAATTGATCAATACCACCATGTAATGGAGCACAATTATAGCCACTACGCATTAGTTGTGCGACGAGATCATCTGCTTTCTCTTGTTTGTCAACAAACACCAAAACATTTCCGTTTTCCCAATAGACACCGAGTAATTCCAAAAGTTTTAGCATTTTTTGGTGTTCCTCCAGAATTACAACATTTTGATTGACATCGTCACAAACGACGCTTTTACCTCCTACCTGAATATAATTTAATTTCGAATTTACTTAAAACCCAAAGCAAAATGAGTTCACTAAATAACTCTCAAATCCAAATACATCTAAAAAATTAATTACCATTATTTCAATCGGTTTATCCAAAATCTTCCTTGCAAGTGCTTCCATTTGTCGCGGAAAGGTTGCAGAGAACAAAACCGTCTGTCTATCGGGTCGTATATTATTCACAATTTTCATCACTTGTGGCTCAAATCCCATATCGAACATTCTGTCTGCCTCATCAAGTACCAGATATGTTACCCGTCGCAAATTTGTTACTTTGCCTCAAAGATTTAATCAAAAATCAAAATAGAAAAAAAATTTTACAGAAAAGGATAGCGTTACTATAATGCAGAATAAGATAAATAAAAAACCTAAATTTCCAAATCCACTAGCTGAATGCCTGAAGAAAATATTAAACCTTTATTTGCAGCGAGCATATCCGTAAGACGCCCAACAGTACACACAACAACTTCAGCTCCACGTTTCAAATCCCCTATTTGATCAGATATTCCGACACCACCATAAACACATGCAACACGAACATTCAGCTGTTTCGCGAATTTACTCGCTTCCTTCCATGTCTGCATTGCAAGCTCCCTTGTCGGTGACATTATTACGGCTGAAAGTTACTCACATCCGACGAAATTTAGAAATTGAAACGCTAATTTAATCGTAACAGCTAATATACTAGAATTATTTCTGTGAAACATACCAATGGGACCATCCATTTCTTCCAATTCTGGTTGATCTAATATGTGTCTAAACATAGGAAGCAAGAAAGCAAGTGTTTTACCACTACCAGTTTTAGCAATACCAATAACATCACGGCCACTAATTATTGCCGGAATTGCTTGACATTGGATTGGTGTCGGTTTCTTATATTCCAACCTAAACATTCAGCATTAATAAATTCTTATAGATTCTCAGCTCTTCCTCTGGTTTTTATCAATGGAATAATTACTCGCTTTAAACGGAAACAATGTAAGTTATTAAAACGTTTACTTCTTTAAAGTACTCAAAATTTTCCACTCGACGCCACACTGTGCCCATGATCTGATAGGTTTTGGACAATTTTTACCCCTTACGCGTATATCGAGTTCTTCTCGATATTCGTCAACTTCTTTCTTCGTTATTTTCGCCAGTTCAGCAGTTTCCACATAAAAATTCTTACGAAAAGGACGGTAGTACACCTTTGAAAAGAGAAATCATATAGAACTCAATGTTTTACGCGTCACTACCATAAAAACAAAAGATAAATACGATGATTATGAACGTTTAGGAAACTGATGTGAATGAGAATCTACAAAATGACTAGTTTTAACACCTTTTTAAGTCACAAAAATACAATAAAGATCCTGAAATGTAGTTGCCTTAGAATGGTCAGTCTGTGGTAGTTGCCTTCCTTTCGCAATCAATGATGAAGCTGCTTTCTCAATATCGAAGTCGTCAATAACTGGCTAAAATAATAGTAAGTTGATTAAAGTAAATAATGGATGGAACATTATGATGCACTGATTACCATCCTCAAAAGCATATTGATGAGTTTAATCCAACGAAACAACTAAATTTTGCGACAATAAATAAAGCTTAGCATCACAGCGAAAAAAGTGCTTGTAAAGTAAAACGGTAAACAAAATGATGTACCTCTATTTCGTCTTCTGCTTCGATGATTTCACCTTTTTTTGGCTCTAAATTTGCATCTGACTTGATCACAACTATGCGGGCTTTTCCTTCATTATTCTGGAACAAAAGTAGAGTGAAACAAGTTTTGACTTATATTTGATCCAACTACTGTAAAATGTTTTTCACCTGCTCCAGCCCGTATTTAGAAGCTCGAACTTCCTTACTGACTTCAGACATGAATGCATCCAATGGATCAACTTCATCGTCATCCTCTGACTCTTTTCTGCAAACTCTTGCATGGATATTTACCAATTAGAGAGTGTTACGAAATAAACAGTTCCTTTTTAAAGAGTGCATGCACGTCAACTGATTTCGAAATGTTTTGGAATAAAAATTTATTGACGCACAACTCCTCTTGTATAGTAAACAGAAAAGATTTGCAAAACTGTTGGAACTGCACGACAAAATAATCAATCAGAAAGATGCAAAGAGTTAAGAAGTAGACAAAATAGCCAGTGTTTCAAAATCATAAGAAGCATTACTTTTCAATTTCCTGTGGTGTACTTTCTTCGTCTTCTTCTTCGTTATCCAGTGTCCATTTCTTCTCCTGTTGTTGCCGTTCCCCTATTTTCGAAATACTTTCATTACTTGTTATCTCCCCTTTTTTCCGTTCCAAACGCCATTTTTCGATTCTTTCACGACGCTTTTGCATTTCGATTTCTAATTTCCTTTCAGCTTCATTCTGCAATTTACAAAAAGAAAATTCTTATATATAAAAAATACTTTTTCCTCGAAAGATAAATCAAAAAGATGGATGCTTTGAACCCTTTTAAATTATTATTGCAAACCAAAAACCTTGTCTGTCATGGCAACGATTTCACCCAAATCTAAATCTTTATCCCTTTTCTTGTCCTTTTTACCATCGCGATCAGATCGATCTCGAGAACGACTTCGGTCTCTTTTCCTAGGTGATCTGCTGCGTTCCTTTGTTCTCTTATCCCGTGGTGAGTGACTTCGATCACGACGAATTTTTTCGCGTTTTGGAGAACGATGTCTTTTTGAATCAATTTTATCCCGGCTACTACGCGAGCTGTGTTTTTCATGTGAACCCATTTACTGCAAAGCAATGCTTTCGAAATGCACACCATCAAAAGAAAGTCTTTAGTAAAACAGCGCAATGAAATCATTTAGGAAAGTCATTAAAAATCATTTAGAAAACACTCAAAGCCAACTGCGACAAATTTTCCAGTATATAATGACTTTTTTTTTAAATACTATAAAGCCTTTACCAAAGTCATTCTATTTGACTCGTTATTTACTTAGCTACTAATTCCGAAAAGTTACACTGCTAATCAGAAATTATAAAAAGAAATCAAGAATAATGTCATCATTATCCTTGATTTCACAGTAAATTGGACAAAAATCAGAGCTTACAAAGAATGTAAGTGACATCCAATACCCTCGAATTTAATATACTTAGTCTCTATGTTTCAAAGCTCAAGCTTTGTTCTTAGACATCACCACATGTCCGCCAGCGAACTAATGCTCTATACTTACGTCTCACGAACTCCCTTCCCGTGCTAATTCAAACCCTATTATTTATTTAACAAACCTTGCACCAACGGGAAAATACCCAAAAGACCATCTAAAGAAGCACATATAAGTAATTGAAGGGCGGCTCGGGCCAGATGGAACAATTTGTTTGAGGTAATTTCGTGATGATTGGGGAATATAATTAGACTTGAGGGCTTGAAAGTTGACACGAGTCTCTTCCGTTTCTTTACAATGGCAATCAGGCAGCTGGGAGATTTATGCCGTGATTTGAATGGGATTGCTGAGGAACTGAACAATGCCGCACTTGTTGACAATCTTCAACTCATTCGACGACGTATCGAGAATGTATCGAAAAAAGCAGAGCAAAGTCCTTACTGGCGTGGACAAAAACCGTCGCTGGTGGCTGTTTCAAAGACGAAATCTTCCTCGCTCATTCAGTAGGTCCCATTTTCTTTGTTGAAAACACCTTCACTACTCTGAAAAGAATCGTAATGCAGACTCATCTTGATGTGCTCTTAGTGAATCTTATGACTTCAGGGTTACTTTTTGAAGAAACCCGCATCGTTAATCAACCCAACGATCTAGCAGTTGAACTGCCATGTGGATTAGAATCAGAGCTTTTTTTAGATAGAATGAAATAGGGATTAGAGTTGGGATGTTTGCTTTCGAGTTGTCGAAAATTTAAGTTCTTAACTGTAGATAACGTTTAAAGGTGTTGCTACGATGCAGGACAAATGAAATTTGGTGAGAATTATATTCAAGAACTTGTGGATAAAGCAGAAGCGCTAAAATCAAAATGTCCAAACATACGATGGCACTTTATTGGTACAGTTCAGTCAAATAAGGTGCTGTTTTGAAATTCAGTTAAGAATGCTATGGAAAAAGAGCAGCCCAATAGCGAGCTCAGGATCACTGGTGTGATGAGGGTGCGCTGAAACTGAAAAACATATGGTGCAGATCAAATTTGAATTACTTTCATAAATAGTTTTTAAGGTGTTTGATGTTGATCACTTTCCCTGATATACTTTAACTTGGTAGATTGCTAAGTTGGCCGAAATTGATACCTTGAGTTGTGTGGAGACGATCTGCAACAAGAAACATGCCTCTATGCTGGAAAAAGAGGTTGCAAAGCATAATCGGAAATTGAAAGTTCTGGTACAAGTTAATACGAGCAAAGAAAAGCAAAAGGGAGGAACAACGCCTGAAATGGTTATTTTACTGCCTCACCTTATTGCTTTGTAATATTAAAATTTTCCAGTTTGGGAATTTGGGACGTAATAATGAAAGATTATTTCTATGTTATGTGAAATGCAAAATAGTTAATGAATTCAGAAATCGCATAGGTGCATTTGAAAGCAGAGTAGTCCAGGTTTTTCGCAACTGGTTCCCTCGTGAAAGAGCTTGGTTTTTAGGCGATAGAATTAGCTGAGTTTATTCGGATACACTGTCCTTCACTGAAGTTCGGTGGTTTTATGACAATTGGTTCTTTTGCTCACAGTGTAGCGCAAACTCCCAACAGAGATTTTATACAACTTTTCGAAGTGCGAAAAAGGTAAATTGTATCAGTTTGGCTATGATTTCAAATTTTTCAGTTTTATCATTTGCAGATTGTTACATGTGTTATTCTAGGTTTTGCGAACTCACACAAGAAAATGAGAGAGATTTTGCACTTTCAATGGGAATGTCAGATGATTTTGAAGCGGCAATAATGTTGGGTAGTACATCGGTGCGTGTTGGTAGTGCTATATTTGGTCATCGCTTACTTAAAGCAGAACAGTGTAAATGACTTTGCGGAGATGTCATTTCCGTGATCAGTTTGGCTCATTTAATTTGTACTGCTAGTTTTGAGTGTCCTGTAAATTTTTTTCTCTTACTTGCGTTCCATGAAAAAAAAAAGTTTTATTCTAAGTTTCGTTTCAATTTCATGGATAACATTTAAATATGTGTTAATATATTTCTTCTCTGAGCATTTCCACACATCTTTCTTCCTTGTAGATTAAAAGGCTCATTTAATTAAGCTGCTGCATCTAACGTTGGCATTTGTTGTATTAGTTGTAGGTCTTGTTGAAAATTTAACATTTTTAAAAATGAAGCAAGTTTGTTTTGTCTTTTCTTAATACCAGACATAAGTCTGAAGATGACAGACTGAACGGTATTCACTGTGGTGGTAATTGGCTCTTGTTACGTGTTGTGTTTTGAGAAATGAATATCCAAAACCGCTTCCGACGTAAGAACACATGTCACGGCACTGCACTACATCCACACCTTGAAAGGCTATAATGTAAAATGTTGGGCGGCCATTGATATTGCAAGCAAAACGTTGAACGATTTCTTAAAATACTTTTTAGCAATTTTAATTGGAAGATGAAAAATGGACATAAACGTGGATCACTCGTACAGAAATATATCAAAATATTCGTTGTCGTCTTTCTATATTGGTAAATTAGTGGATTTGAAACGATTTCCTAAAATTGTGATTTTGATTTATTGGCAAGCTTTTTAGAATTGTAATTCGACTGAAAATATTGGGAATATTGTTTGTTTAGGTTTTTTTCAATAGGCCTCGTGTTTCTGAACAAGTACTTGCTAAGCAGTGATTCACTTAAGGTAAGTGCTTCTCATAGTTATGGGGAAGTTTCTATTATATTCTGGGAACAAAATATCACTTTTTATGTTCGGTATAGGAGAAGAGGTGAATATGTTCTGTTAATATATTCAATCTCGAAATTTAAAATTCTGGATTGTCTTATGAATTCCCTCAATTTGCAGCTCAATGCACCATTGCTTGTAACCTGGTATCAGTGTTTTGTGACAGTGTTGTTGTGTTGTGTTTTTTGTTGGGTTTCTAAACTATATCCATCATTGATTACACTTCCATCCATACGATTTGATCACCGGATTTCGAGAGAGGTATATCTATATATTTTAATTTCATATGTTTATGGTACTTTTTTTTTCGAATTTTTGGACTGTCGTATCATTAGCAATATCTGGATAAGAATCTAGATGCACTTGAATTTGTACTGCCTTTAAATTACTCAAAAAATTGGTTCTTTCCTTTATAACTTTGCTCTACATTTTAATGCTGCATTTTCAGGTGTTACCGCTTTCATTTGTGTTTGTTGCTATGATAGCTACCAATAATCTTTGCTTAAAATATGTTGGTGTCTCATTTTATTATATTGGAAGGTCGCTTACTACTATTTTCAATGTGGTGAGGTTTGATATATGAATGGTATTGCTCCCAAAGTACAGAAAAAAGTTAAAGTTTAGAACATTTAAGGCTAGAACAGCGGGAAGAGATGTTGAAAAATAACTACTCGAAGTTGAAATACCGCGAGTAAGTGTTAAATCAGTAATTCTTGGCACTAAAATTATAGAGATTAAGATAATTGTTAACTTTAGGGATGGCTTTTCGATAATCTTTTAAATTGTAATTGATGCCATTCAGATATTTTCATATATCATTTTGGGACAGTTAATGTCACTAAGAACGATTCTGTGCTGTTCATTAATTATTGGTGGTTTTCTTCTTGGTGTGGATCAGGAAGATGCCGCGGGTACATTTACTTTCATTTGAGAAGTTTCATTGGTGATTTCCTCTTCAAGGTCCTTATGGATGATGGTTTTGGCTTCCGAAATGGTTACTTCGCATTAGATTTTTTTTGTGATTTTTTATAGGAACTTTATCCATCAATGGTGTTATCTTTGGAATAGCAGCGTCCATGTTTGTTGCCCTGAATGCCATTTATACACAGCGTACTCTTCCATCGGTTGGCGACAGTATTGTGCAGCTCACCTTGTAAGCTAAATAAATGAAAGGTTAAATGGTAAAGCATCAAGTCAAGTTATTTCTCTTTGGGTGGCCTAATGGGGTTACAATTGATTTTACAGAATTTTGAAATCCTTGGAACTCTTTATATTTTAGGTACAACAACATAAATGCACTAGTGTTATTCCTACCTATCATACTGTTCACTGGTGATATCAGTGAAGTGTTTTATTTCCATTATTTAACCTCCTTGCGATTCTGGACTTTGATGACGTTGTCTGGTATTTTTGGTTTCTTAATGAGCTATATTACCGGATGGCAGATTCAGGTAGTCTTTTGTTGCCTTTTGCATTCACCAACAATAATTTATCGTTTTTGTCTGGCTCGAATTTCTTTTTTTTATAATTCTCTTGTTTAGGTAACATCGCCTTTAACACATAATATCAGTGGTACAGCGAAAGCGGCAGCGCAAACTGTTATTGCAGTTGTATGGTGGCACGAAATGAAACCACTGCTTTGGTGGGTAAGTAATGCAGTTGTTCTCAGCGGCTCGGCTATGTATGCAATGGTTAAACGAAAAGTTAGTTCCTTATTTCTGGCGAATTTTTGGATGGATTTCTTTGGCAAACTTATTTGGAAACAATAAACTGAATTTTTAATTTAAAATGGATTAATTTTTTAAGCGAATGACCCAGCTGCAGGTTTGGAATTGAATTTATGAATTTGCATTTTGGTTTTTTATCTGTAAATAGTGTCTATTTCATATGTTCCTTGCCTTCCAGGAAAT